GTATAGATTTCCGTTTATGTGAATCTCCCGATGTATTTTTTTTTCCTTTTTTAATCAAAGCGATGCAACATGCATGGCATGCCCAAGCATGGCCTGAAAACTACCCTTCTTCGATTCTAAATGATTCAGCTATGGGCGAGCAAGATGTCTCTGTGTTGAAGAACGTAGAAGAATGGGGGAACCACAATGATTTGTCGAGCTGCTGGCGTTGGAGCTTTCCAGCAATTAAAGTGCACAACAGCTCCGTCGTTACACGTACAGATCTACAATAAACATTCCCAGTCCATAGACATTCAAAAGCTGTAAACTATTCTATCCTAGTCTGTTTGCTATCACCAGATATCACTGCTCACGTGTAATTTGCATATACTGATATTTTCCCAGCACGCAGTCACGAGTTCGAGGGGCAGCCAGCCAGTCAGCGAAATAACGAATTAGCGAACAGCCAGTCTGCTCGGAAAAATATGGGGAATTACGGGTGGCATTCCTGGAAGATGTCAGAGGATTCAATGGAAATTGTCTTGCTTCCTACTTGAGACCAATCTCGGTTGTTTTATTTACCATCGTGCTTGGAACTAAAAATCCCTTCATTTGCAAGTTAAAATACCCCTCGCTAGTCAAGGATTCTCTGAACCTCGGGCCATTTCAGGAAATGGAATATAGCCCCATCTTGTAAGAGGGGTTGATTTTTGTCGTTATTGAATAGCCATTTTTGATCATATGCAGCGTATACGATAGTATTCATGGATATCCCGAGGCCCCTGGGTTCAACTGTCGGCAGCCCACGTAGTTTTTAATATCTGATGAATGCAAAAAGAAAAGGGGTGGGAAGGATGAATATGCGGCTTGCTTTTTATGGGTTGCTACACCTGCAAGAAGTCTCTAGTACACCGCAATCCCACGAAGGCCATCCTTCCTTGTTTTCAAGTTCTTTAATGATACCTCCATTATCAATCAGCAGTGTTCGGAACTTGGTTTTTGTGGAACGTGATACCCACCTCTTGTGAGCTCTAGGAGATATGGATGTGTCTCGATAGAATAAAAAGTCGATTGGATGGTAACCTCATAACATCCTTTGAAAAACGAAAAACGAGACGAGATGAAGTAAATAAAAACAATGCCTGAAGCATTGAAAGCAGCTATCTCATAGTGCCAGCCTTCTTTGTGGTATCCGTACCTTGCTGCTCAATCTGCAGGGCTTTTTTTATCTGAATATCTGGTAGTAGCTAATACCTAACGGATCGGTTGTTGGTGGCTCTTGTATGTTCTGCATCTCTTTGACGATTTCTCATTCCGAATAATACTAAATAAAATATGCGTCGTTTACCACCGTTTACCAACCAGAAGCGGAAAGATCTGGTCGCATTCCAGGAAGGACAGTCAGTCTTTAGCAAAGTGAATTTATAACGATGCAGAACTTTGGAACATACTGCGTTGAGAAGCATGAACACTAGAACAGACAGCCACTTCAGCCACCGTGCCGAAGACTGGCCTGAACCCCGCGATCACGCTGCTTGATGTGGGGAAGAATGCTGGTGATTGGGTGCGCTCTTGGCCAGGGAGAAACGGAGCAGTTGAGGTTTTCTACACTCGAGCCATGTCTGTGTGGTGCTGCTGGCTTTATGGATTTTTAATTTTGATGCGGATATTCCACAGAACAATTGTGATAATCGCCAATTGTGGACAACACAGCGTCAAGCTTTTTTCTCTTTCTTTTTCTTTTTTGGCAGCCCAGTCCAGTCAACTCCGGGCATCGAGGAGTTGAAGGCGGTGGACAGTGGTAGAGAGAGTGTGATGTTTGCCGATAATCGGCGTAGCATGCCGAATTGAAGCTTTGGGCTCCTGGATTTTGCGTCGAACGTTCGGGTCCAAGAAACCCTACCACAATCATATGCAGCTTCTCCGTCGACATTTCAACAAATTTGCCAGTAGCAGGGACAAGAGGCTGGTCACCGCTCTCTGGATGCCCAGAACTTCGACTTGACTGGCGGTGTGGCTGGTTTAAGTCCATCCAACATCCAAGCCAACAAACCCACAACGAGCGAGACATACTAACTAGGTACTCGGACTAGTTTTAGCTTAGACTCTCCGCTGTTTGCAGAAGAATTTTGGCTGACCCCGTGCGCCGACTTTGCGCCAGCCGGAAATTGTCGTCCCTGCATGGACTGGTGTAACTTTTCGGGTAGGACCTGGCCTTAGAAACTGGCTTTGTTGGGCAACAATTGGTGCCCCATGTTGAGAAAGGCCGTGTGGATTGCAGAGAAGTAAGTTTCTATTTTTGATCCCCGTGGCCCTGAAACCGCAACACGAAGCAGAACAGCATGGGTTATCCAATCGGTGCTTGTTTCATTGTTCATGACTGTTTGACGCTGCGCAAGAGAGAGATCGATGCCCACGACGAGAATGGCCACTCCCGCTTCTCGAACAACGCTTAGCGCCGCAGCTGGCAAGTTCTGCGTTTTGCAACAGGGGCGCCAGGTGGGGTCGAAGCGGATCGGCGTGATGCAACTTAAAACGGCCCACAGCCAGGCCCCCGGCGGCAGGATGTTTGGTGCCTCGACCAGGCACATTCTCGCCAGTCATGTGGAGGAATATCAGCAGGCGACTCGTCGATACCGTCACTGGCGCATAACGTGGCCCCGTCGTCAGAACTGCAGACCCTCGCGGTAACTCGCCACAAAATGCTGTCGAATCAACCGGATACGGACCGCTGTTGCTGAAGCACAAGGGCGGGGCTGCGAACGGATACCCAAGCGTGAATTTTGGATGTCTTCACTGTTTTAGTTGACCTTTTTTGGTCTCTTTGTGGGACTACGCTGCGTAAGTTCTGGATGTGGTTTGGCATGTATAACTAGCCATTGTTGGCGGGCTCTTTATATATGTGCTTGGACTACCCGGATGTTTCTTTCATGGCTGTTGTTTGATATCACCAGACTCAGCCTACTTGTTTGTCTTTCGCAGGTGTCTGCCGCCCCTGCTGCAAGAAGCCTTTCTTTTTGTGATCATACTCAGAATGTTGATCATTCTGCTACAATAGTGAACTCTCTTTTCTTGCTTTTTTGCATATGCTAGCTAGAGCTTCCGAGCTGTATTTCTCCCTTTTCCCCTACAGTTATCCGCTTTAATACACCACAACACCGCAGAAACCCATGTGAACTGCATATGAAAGTTTGGACTTCTGCACATATAAGTTATATAGTTACCTTGAGCCTCCTGCTTCTTATGCACTCAGTTATATTCTACTTCAACACACGCTCTCTATTTTCATTCTGCTGCCCCTTGTCCACACTGCTGGCATCCCCCAAGAAAGAGAATTGATATTTTTAACATCGCTCTTGCATAAACGGCGCGGGGCACCGGTGCCCAGACAGCTCGGCACCCCATCCTGGCTAATTATCAGGGTTGAAACCTTATCAATCTGAAACTGCGCATGCGCGGCCCGTTGGTACGTTTTGATGGCCTACCTTGCGACATGTGATGGTCTACGGATCAAATGCCTCCAGGCAACGTCCACTAACCTTTGCTGTTCAGTTCATTGGGCTCTATCTATAACGAATATCATATCGGATACAGCCCTGGCAAGGCTGTGACTAAGCATGGGTACCTTCACATGTGAGCCCAGTGACGATTCTCCCATCCATAGTATGCGCGAGGACAGCATCACCTCTCCCTTTTTATATATCCCTTCCTGTCCACAACACGATGGCAAGCTCCATCCCGTTGTCGATGTCTTCGTGGCCCCGCAATATACTGGCGATCCAGACGCAACACAGACAACTTTTAGGATTAGTTCCGATGACAAAGGCTATTACCCAGCTCTCGAGGCTACCGACGTAACCATGCACCAGAGTCGTTCTCCAGCAATATCAGAACTAGGGGCTTTGACGCCAGGAACCACATTTTCCGCAACGAGCGATGAAACGGGCCTTGGCGAGTCGCAGTTTTTGATCAAGTCGTCCACAGACTCGTCAGCCGGATCGAATGCGTCCTACCTTTCCAGAAAGCGTATCCACAGAGAATCGAAAGAGAGTGCCAGTAAATCGAGAACATCTTCTTGCTCCACAAGTAGACGCTACTCATCATCGCAGGACATAACGTCAAGGTCATCCTCCAGGAGCCGTCGCAAGTCTCCAAAGCACCAAATCCAGAAGGCTGGAACTTATGCCCAAATCCACTCTCCAACGTTACGAAAGGGGGATTCTGCTCTCTTCCACCGAAAAGAGTATCTTGTATCCCTCCACAGGAATAGTTGTCGCATTTTTGAAACTGGTACGAGCAGGCCAGACCAAGAAACCGGCGGAGGGTTCCACGATTCGCAACATGCACAACAAATGCCAAAAACACTTGAGAGATCATATACCCCTCCCACCAGAACCAGCACGTTCGCCAATAGAGTCGTGTCTCTCGAAAGCAACAAACCAAGTTTCACCGCATCTCCATCTCTAGCTCCTCTTCTAACGTCAACAACCGCGCTATCCTCACCAAACCCGCCTTCCATCTCAGACGGACATAATACCCCTGAAACCCAACGACATCGGCCTTGGGACCCAGTGGTAATCCGCCGCAACTCCTCCACTGCCAGTGATGACGACCTGCAGCAGGACGAGTCCAGGGTGTACAGACCCATCCCCGCGACCGTCATAGACTGGACATCCCCGTCAACTCGCAGACGCGAATACGCAGAAATCGACCGCTCGACCCGCGGCGTGAGGGGCATGTGGCGGAAAATTGGTCCCAGCTGGTGCCAGCCGGGCGGAAACAGGATGATGACCTTCTTCGAAGAGGGGAAAGGGGGCAAGGGCATGTATGAGGGTAGCGTCCGGCGGTTTCGAATGGATGTCCCTACCCGGGATAGTAATAATAATGACGGTGACGGTGACGGTGGCGGTGGCGGTGGCGGCGATGAGACAAACGACGGTCATATCAATGGAGGCCCTGGTGGTAACGGCGATGATGAGAAAGGTCGGTCTCGAAGATCTAGTTTTAAAGTGAAATGGAAGTGGATTGAGAGTAGCATATCTCCTCCTGAGAGCGTTCGTGGTGGTGGTGGTGGTGGTGGTAAGGACGTGAAGGAGAGAGTGAACATTATTCATGGGAAATGGCGTTGTTTGAGCATCGTACGGAAAGCGGCCTGATGAATTATAGAGAACTTTACATGTTTGCATATTCTTTCGTTTTTGTTTTTTCTTTTTTCGTCCTCTTTTAATTTTCCTCCGAAATACCCAGTCTGCTATGTTATATAGAGTGCAATGCTGGCGTTTAGTCATGTCACATCTTACTGTTGATGGTTTTTCATATACGACCCTGAAGTCTCATATATCCAACTATGTAGTTAACTGCACCATGGAATGATTTCTTATTTCGAAATCCACATCCCAGCCTCTCATAACAATCTTTCGCAGTTCTCAATACCAACTCACACAGGGAACAGTAAGGTACAGCACTAATGAAGCTCTTTCGGGTGGAGTCCATACTTAATCCATGAGGTACTGTACGAAAATGCAAATACCAGTAGCCAATTGTGAACACTCCTGTTGTTCATTTACCCCAAGCACTTCCTGGCTCGCGCGTGAAAAAGTAACATCTGATTGCCATTCATCACACTACTGGAGTTGCTGAAGC